ATCAGAACACCATCCTGAAGCCCTGCCCCGAAGATTCTTAAGATGCAATCCACGCGTCAGTCTTTTTAAAGTAGGTCATACAAATGCAAATATTTGCTTTTTGGAATTACGACTCACATACCTGGGATGCTGCCTTCTCAAAGCCATCTGGATTCAGAGACGGCATGATGTGGATACGTGTGCTGTGGATCAAATTAATGACAGTCTCATTTCCCTTCTGATATTCGTTGCACAAGTATTGAGCCAAGAAGATAAGAAGTTCTCTTCCAACAGCTTCATTTCCGTGCATGTTGCCAACATATTTAAATTCTGGCTCTCCTAAAACATACAAGAAATGCAGGATTCTCAAATGTGTAGAGATTTTAAAAATGCACAAAAAGCAAATGCAGGTCAAATCAAAAATGCAGGTCCACAATAGAAAGTGTCCTCACATACTTTATAACAGTATGGTACGCTGGTTTAACAGCTGCAGACAGAAAGGCACTACAGAGAGTGATAAATTTGGCACAGGAAACCATTGGTTGCCCAGGTTGGCAGAAGACATCAAAGCATAACCAGCCAGACAAACAGGTTTAAAAACAGCTTCTAACCATGGGTTGTCAACTCCTAAGCACAATTACAATCACTCCATGTACATATGGAAGCATATGGCTAGTACCCCCCTCCAATTATTTGTATAAGGATTATATATACATCACTCACACATCATCACAAAATCTCCTGAACTTGAAATTTGGCACGTATGTTCCTCTTGGCTTCTAGGTGCTCACTAAGACAGGATTTTTCCAAATGGCCATCAGAGCATTAGTATATCCTATACTATTATTAACATGCTCTGATGCTAAGGAGTTCTATTCCCCCTCCCCAGCTGAAAAGAAATCTCTTCCAAATGCAAAACAAAAGCAGTGGAGAGGAGTTTCAGTTTCAGTTTTAGAGCAGCAACCAGCTTTAGTACAGAACAGATGAGCTAAGCCACGCCCAGGCTCCTTGCTGTCTCCTTCTTGCTCACACAGCAAATAGTATTTCAGTTTGCAAACAGCCCTCAACTCTTTCACACACTGACAGGATGCGAGCCAGATGAATACGGATGGTAGGCAAAGACATATCCCCCGCCCCCCAATCATCTTCTCCAAAAACTAAGCCTGATCACATAGTTTTGTAGCAAAGCATGGGTATCCAGCTAGTTCTCTCTCAACACTATTCACGTTGTCTTGTATTTTCTGTTATGGATTGCACTAGTAGAGGCTAAACCAATTTCGTTGCATACATGAAGTTCAACGACAATAACGGCCATAATAATAAATCATAAACACTCTATAATTCCTTCACCATTTATATTAGGGATGACAAAATTTAGGCTAAGCTCCCTCTCCATTTTCAGTCCCCTGTGCTGTATTTTGCACCTCTGCTAAACATTCTGCAAGTCAAGGGATCGTATTGTGCAGCAAGGGAGCAGCAGGGTGATTGGACATCTTGTTCCATGAAAAACAATTTTGTTCTCCTCATAGAGGAAAAATAAGGTATCATGCCAATGTATACGAGATCGCACTGCTTTGAACTAAAGCCATAGACAAGTGAAGTGGAAATTGTGTCCTCACATGCATACATAGCTGAGTAATTGAATAAACAGTTTCAATCAGCCTGAGGATGATTTAGTGAAGGATTTAGCAATATGAATGTAGATACGTTCCGCAGAGCATCAATATTTACAGAATGTATAGGTGTCCTAAGATCCCAAAATCCAAGTAAGAAGTGTGTATGAGTGTGTGGGTGTTTTTGCATTTATCTTTGCCAATCAGAGTAAAATCATATTCTTGGATGAAGGTGAATATTCTCACTTTCTCCATAGATACCACACTGAAACAACGGGAAATAAAACATGACTATATGTTAAGAGTGAATAGGAGTCTATATTTACCAATGAAAATTGGACTTTAAAGAAGCGGAACAGGAAGAGTGCTGGCACCTTTGAATTTTGGTGTGGGTGAAGACTTCTGAGAATACCATGGACAGCCCAGAAAACACCGAAACCAATTCAACCTAGAATTCTGTTTTCACAACAGTTTTAAATAGCATACACTTTTCTTGCAATGGTTCAACTTCCCCAACCCGGGTACCATAAATAACAAGGCATTACAAATACTTGAAGTCAGAATTCGGTGGAGTTGCTATATTCTATACAAAGTCTCTAACTCTAAAAAAGATTCAGATTATACAAGAGCTTGCTCTTCCCGAGATCATCGTCTGTGAACTGTCCTTAAACACCTCAATCCGCTTCTTACTTTGCTATCGAGCCCCTGACTATGATATAATTCATGCAAACAAGCTAACTTCACTACTGACATGGGCTGCCTCTTGCCCACACCCTCTTATTTTTCTTGATGACCTCAACTTACCTCTTATAAATTGGACACTAAATGAATGTTCATCTGAGCCCATTCATACAATGTCATTACCACACTGGGACTGGATCAATTAGTATATAATAACACCAGACTAAACAACTGCCTCGACCTCATTTTCTGCAACAGCTCAAATTTATGGCCTACAAATATAGGAACCATTTTCAAACAGTGAACGTAGCATGACTGACTTTTGTCTAAATTTACACCCTCTCAAAGAGGATTACAATGATGGATCTCCAAAATACAAGCTAGGCGGATATGACCTTTTTGATGACCCTCACTCTGTCAAGCACCTTGGAGTTCTCCTATCGAATGACCTAAGCGCCAAAGCTCACTGCAACAGTATTGCCAAAAAGGCTTTAAGTGTTTCAAATTTAATTTTACGAAGCTTCTCCTCTTGTAATACTGTTTTGCAAACTAGGCCATTTAAAACCTTTGCTAGACCAATACTTGAATTCAGCTCTGCTGTCTGGAATCTGCACTGTATATCAGACATAAATACAATTGAGAGAGTCCAGAAGTATTTTACCAAAAGAGTACTACATTCCTCTGTTCTCAACAGAATACCCTACACCACCAGGCTTGAGATTCTAGGCTTAGACAACCTTGAACTACGCCGACTAAGATTGGACTTAAGCATAGTACATAAAAATCATATGTTACAACATCTTACCAGTTAATGAATATTTCAGCTTTAACAACAAAAACACAAGAGCACACAACAGATATAAACTAAATGTAAACCACTCCAAACTCGATTGCAGGAAGTATGATTTCAGCAACAGAGTGGTCAATGTCTGGAACTCACTACCTGAGTCTGTTGTCACCTGCTCAAACCCTCACTTCTTTACCCTCAAACTAACCTCTACTGACTTCACCCCATTCCTAAGAGGTCTGTAAGGGACCTGCATAAGCGCACAATCGTGCCTACTGTCTCTGTCCTATTGTCCCCAATTATTAGTTCCTATTTCTTATATTTATACTTATGTTTATTCTTGTTTCTATTATATCGTAAGTTTTTGACAAATGAATAAATAAAAATAATAAATAGAATTCTAAATGTTGCTGGGCATGGTTTTGTTTGTTTCAGTAAGGAATATCCTATCCAAAGATCATTCAAAGAGAAGATGAGGAAGGAATATTGTGTATGTTTGCCACCTTGAGTTTATAAAGTAATAATGCTGGAATAAAAATGTAATAAATAAATAAATAAATCTGTTGGTTCTGTTCTTATTAAAATCAGCAGGGATGAAATTATAACTAACTCCCTTCTCAGGCATCAGGGAACCAACTTTACTACTGTGTTTCTTAGAAAATAAGGCAGGGCCTTATTTTCTTTTGACCCCCCCCCCCCCCCGAAAAAACGCATAGGCCATCTTTTCAAGGGGCATCCTACTTTTTCCCAAACACGCCTCGCCTGACCCCCGGGCTGCTTCTTTCTAGGCGTGCCTTGCTTGACTCCCCGCTGGCCAAGCACTGAAGCTCCACCAGTGCTGCTGGGGGAGAGAGAGATCCGATCTAACCTCAGAGGGCTGGTGGTGATATTCTCTCTCCCCCTCCCTCCCTCCCTCTCCCTCTCTCTTTCTCTCTCTCTCTCACACACACACACACACACCCCACCCAAGGCAGCCACATTCCTTCACTAACCTGATATCCTGCGATCCCAAGTAAAGAACAATCAATCGGTAGGGAAACAGGGGCGGGGGGATTTTCCTGCAGATTTTGGGGGGATTTTCCCAGGGTCTCTGCTGCTTCTGCTTTTGGCTGCATGCAAGGAGAACAGCAGACGTCTTTCTTTCTCACCCCCAAACTCCGCCAAAAATGAGTCTTTGGGACCCTGCAAGACATCCTGCTCCAAGAGGCTGTGCCGGCGTGACAAGTGTCGCTCTTGTCCAAGTTTCACATTTCTTTTGTGTGATCTACTG